GTAGTATATTTAGTATATATAAATAATACTTTTTAAATTGGCATTGTGTATGAGATGAGTTGGGTTTCATGTTATGGTAAATGCATAACATTCACATTGTGACCAAGTATCTGAGGGAGGAATAATGTTTATATGTTTATGATCCATGAGGTAGATCTTGTGTCAGCTGTTAGCTTTCCAGCTTGTCTGACATGCATTATTCTGACTTTTGCTTAAGAGTAGTTGCACAGATGTGGTTATTGTTCAGTATTTGTTCCAGTTTCTTGTTAAAGTGTTGGTGGCTGCAATTACAAACAAGAATTCTGGATGGTATGGTTTCTGAAGTGATGTGATCCTTGCATGTGTAAATGGGAGGGTGCAGTGGTTATAGGAATATGGAATTGGTGCAGAGTGTGTGATAAAATTACTACAGGTGTAACATAGTCACTTTTGCTGACATATTTTTATATAAAATGTACAAAAATTGGAGAGTATTCAGCAAAGCAGCAAGACATGATCTATGGCCTGGGAAACAATGAGAGAGCTCAGTCTATTTTGTTAGATTGAAAGAAGGTTAAAGAATGACTTTATCATTCTCTATAAATACACCCACCAGGCAGCTATCTCATGGTGGAGTGCTCTTCAGTGTAGGAGACAGGATTAGATTCGTTGATGGATGGAAGCCAAAGTTACATTAAAAAAGAGAAGGGGGAAGGCAACTCTAAAAAAGGCACATCTTTTAACAGTAACTTGATTGCTGTATCATGGTGAGGGGACTTCAATCTCCACTTAGTTTAAAAGACAAGTGAGGTTATGTGTGAAAGTATGTATTTTTACAGGAATAACAGAATACAATTCTGTGATCTGTAATTATTCTTTTGGGTTGCAGTATATTCGTGTCTGTCATGTTTGCTGCTTTATCACTTTATAGTGAAACTGACAGTCACGTTTCATCAGGATTGGAGCTGATCATCGCACTGAGCCATCCAATGGTTTGAATAATGCCTCCCCAGGCATTTTTTGTTTGGAAGTGCTAGGCGAAGAAGCTGCCACTGGGTGGCACCAAACTAAAAAAATAAGATAAACGTTTGACTTGCAAATTACTTTTGCTTTTCTGTTTAAAGAACAATAAAGCAAATCAAAGCGTGTTTCCATAACTAGGTGAAAGGTAGCCTTGGAATCAAACTTTTAGCTTAGAGAACCTTTCTTTCCAAGGATTTTGCGGTTGTTGAGAAGATTCTTCATTGTTTTCCTTTTCTGAGATGAACATCAAGGAGAATGTAGAAAAATGGTCTGGGTTTTGTTTCTTGGCACATATCCTATTGTAAAACATTCCTCAAAACTTCAACATACAGGGGGTTTGGGTAGCTGAGGAAATAATAGTATAGAATGAGACTAGTCTACTTGTGAAGTGGGAATAATATTATACAACTGGAAGATGTTAAGTGCAAGAATTTGAGTAGCTTAGCTTACTGTGTGGGATGGAACCAAACTTAATAGCATATTTATCTATTGCTGTTAGATTACTTTAAACGTCTCTGAAGTGTGGCTGTATTTTGTATATCTTTTTTATTGAGACGCTAATCTAATTGATGTATGCATTTTCTGAAAAATGCCAGTAACTTTAAGTTCTAGAAAAGGAATCTAGAGTAGAGTAGGATTCCAGACACACAAGAAGAATCCTTATAGCAGAATTTACTGTACTAAACAGTTGGTTAAACTTTATGGAACATCTGAATAAACCTTTTCATAGATCAATGTTTGCCACATTGTCCCTGATGTGGTAAGAATTTTTCTTGTCAACTGTTGTAAATCTTCCACAGATACTAACAACTGAAATTTGTGCAGTGTAAATAGCTTAATCAAGCTTTTAGGTGTGCAGTTGGTTTGTTATATAGTCAGCTGAATTCCTTGATGTGCTCATGGGAATATGTTGTTTTTCCTCCTCTCTCCTGGCTATGGGAAAAGTGGGGAAAGCTCTTCTACCTTCTTGTTGAAGTACTAAGTTTCAGAGTTTTGAAGTTAGACTGTTAATATCTCTCCTTTACTTCCAGTACTGTATTTATTTCATTTGTCAAATCTGTAAATGTGCAGAGGGATGATAGCATGGGTGAGGACATGTTCTCCTCAATTCAGTTTTCCTTGCTTTTCTGCTTTATTTTAGGCTGCGAGCTTTGTCTAGTGGTGGGAGCGTGACATCCCCTCCTCTGTCTCCGGCTTTGCCAAAGTACAAACTAGCAGACTATCGCTATGGGAGAGAAGAAATGTTGGCACTTTTTCTAAAGGATAATAAGGTGAGCAGGAAGAGGAAGAAGGCCTGATGTGTGTATGCCTAATGACAGCCTTGTGATTAGGAGTAGTTATTTGTATTTTGTGCTTATGGACAAAGAAATCATGTATCCCTTGGCAAAGATCAGAAGAGTTCTGATTGTGGTGGGGTTTTTTTGTGTGTGTGCTTATTTGATCCCACTCATGTTTGATTCTTTTTGCTACTTTAGCAGCAACTTCCTGTACCCCTGAGAACAAAACAACCTGATTGCCATATTCAGTCCCACTGCCACAGATGACTGAGGGTTAAAGTCTCCTTGCAGCTGTGCAGATTCGCTTGCCTCAGTAGGGTTTTTTTTAATATAGTGTGAAATAGTTACTTGGTTCAGTTTGAAAGTCAGGCAATAAATCATATTAGCAGAGCCATCTGAAAAACGCAAGAGCTGCCCATTTATCCTGACTTAAGGCAGTTCACTTTAGCAGGTAAACAGCCCACTTTTCTGGGTGTAAGGACACAAATACTTTCTAGCACGTTATACAAAAGAGCAGTGTAGAAAGTCAGGAACTTCCATCCAGTTTAATTTCAAACAAAGGTTCTTAGAGATACAAAAGTCATGTTTCGGAGAGTGTTTCAGGCAAATGATTTAGACACTCTGTGTTTGAAAACATGAGATTATTCTGTAGATGGTGACAGAGGTTGGTTTATTGTTGCAGCAAGCATATAGTGACTTGGAAGTCTGAATCCCTTTGAGAGCCTACCTCTTGAGTCAGGGAGGGACTGCAAGGAATTATGTCAGGTTGTGCCTTTAGCTTTGCATGTAGATGTGCACGCATACCTCTGTGTTTGTTCTTACCCTACCATGACTGTGCTGACATTTTCATACAGTGAAGCAGAGCCCTGCATTGCTTGTACGTGGGTTCAAGGACGTTGAATGTCAAAGATTTTTCTAAAGTTAAGTGTATTATAGCTTAAAGCCGTGCTTTAACATGCAGAATTACCCTGTTCTACTTTGAGAAGCTGTGGTTTAATCCTTGATGTTATGCTTCAATAAGTCAGCCTGTCAGAGGTCATTGTTTTTTGCAATTTATATATGTTATATCAGATGATGATAAGACCTCTAAAGCTGCAACTGATTCAGAGCAACCTATTAATACCCTGTGTTACAGGAAGCTTTCTGATGGTTATGAATGGTCCAAAAGATTATTTTCTCCCTGTGTGTTTGCCAGAAGGGCATTATTATTAAATGGGCATGTCTTGTTTTGATATGAATGTGCTTCCATGTTGTTGAGTAATTCTAGTTACTGAGACTAAAAGGACTCTCCATGCCGTTTCTAGTCAACTACTAGATGTGATGTTTTTTAAGATGTATCTTGTACCCTAATCCTTTTTCACTTTATCATCTTCAATCTTTGCTGGCTGAAGATTAGGCAAAGTTACATCTCTGATTAAAAGACACTCTGATTGAAAGCAGGAACCTTCTGCTAGATACCGAAATGAAAAAAATAAACCCCTAGGTTGCTTTGCTTCAGTTAAAATTGGTAGAAGTCTTTAGTATTGTGAACTAGATATTTTTGGAACAATTCTGTGTTGGCATTATTAGAGCTCACTTGGCTGTAATTGCAGCTTCTTGTCCACATGCTCATGGTCACATCTGCTGATGGAGCTTCCATCTGATGATGGACTGATTAAAAATTAGCATGAAAAATTATTTGTATTTAAATGATCAGTGTTCTCTAGTTAATAAATCCATACCTATAGTTTCATTTTACTTTTGGGTTTTTTTTATTTGTGGTTTTATTCTCCTTGTTGATCATAAATTGGAAATACTGACTTTTTAAATCAAACACACCTCTGTGCTATATGTGGTAGCTTTGTTAATACATAATAAAAATAAAATACAAATGAAAATCTGACTATAGAAGTGTACTGAAGTTAAAGCAATACTTTTTAAATGTACCAGACAAAATTTCACTTGGTTCAGATTTGACCTGCAGTGGTGTGGAAGTCTGATTTCAGATGTGTATAATCTTGGTACGTTTTGTATTACAGTTGTGGATCGTGGGTGCTTTGGATGTTTTGTCTATAAGGATTCTATTTTCTGGGGGGCATAAACTTGCAGTGCAGTTATACCCACCCCTAGTAAATATTATTGGAAGTACTGTTATACTGGCTAGATGGAGATAGGGTTTTTATAAATCAGTGTGTAGCATCATCCCTGAAGTGGAAGTACCTGGGTATATGTGCATCCTGTATTCCTTTCATACAGATACCTTCAGACCTTCTGGATAAGGAGTTTCTGCCTATTTTACAAGAGGAGCCCCTGCCACCACTGGCACTTGTACCTTTTACAGAAGAAGAACAGGTTTGTATCCTTTTTCTAAAAATAAGAGCTTTAGATTGTCATTAGTGTTACTAAGCCTTCATTAAAAACAAAGTTTGAGATCAGTAGATTTCAGGGAAAGAAATTATGAACGCATACTGTGTTAGCATGAGGTTTAAATTCCATTCATACTCAATTATTATCTTAAATTTGAACAAATATTTTTCATACGGTGTTGTGTTGATGGCAGACAGTCAACTTGTTAAATCCAGGTCATCTTCTGGGAAGTAGTCCTGATTTTTAAAGTACACAGCATTTTCAGATCAGTGAGACTTTTTCTGCAGTTTTTTGACCACCTTCTCTGTGTGTTTGTTAGAAATTCTGTAACTCCAATTTCATGGTCTTTGAAGAAGTGTTGAAATTTTTGGACAGTTAACATTTCTTAGGAAGGTGCAGTACTCTTAACTACTATGTATGTAAGCAGTTGCTTGATTATTTCCTTGTTTGGTCTCTATAGGCATATAATTAATTGGTGAACAGGGTAAGTGTGAAAACAGGTAGTCCACAAAGATTCCATTACAAGGATGATTGATCTAAGTAGTTGGAAAGCCCTTGCTCTGAATTTCAGTCTAGCACAGAAAATTGCCCCCCTCTGGATAAATGCCTCTGGCTTTTGACTCTTATCTTTATAGCTGTCAGAACACCTAGTTTTGCAGTTGCTCTCTGGTTTGTCATGGTTTTACCTCTTCAGAATACTTTTTAGTAAAGTCTTTCCTTTAATGCTTTCTGGAGACCCAGAGGATGGAACAATCTGTTTTTTCTTGTCTGAAGGTCTTTCCTCCTCCCTCCCCGCCCCCATGACTTGTTTGAGATAGATAGAAAGGGAAAAGCCTTATTTAAGCTGCCAGAAATTCCTGGTGTTTGTTCCCCATGACATAATAAATGTTCATGAAGAACCATGTTAGGAAGTGATCTTGAGGTGAATATTAATGTCTTTGCTGCTAGTCATGGTGCAGGCAAGTTCTTTCACCTAAGGCTGATAACAGAGTTTACAACATTTTTGTGCCCCCTCTGTGCATACTGAAGGTAGTATTATTCTCTCTGAACTTGAGGGATGGAGAATCTGGGAGTCCTGTAGAGGACAGGCTGATTAGAATGTGTGTATTTTGGGGTAGTGTTCAGTTGAAGTTGAACCCATTGGGCTTACTCTAGGCTTGGATTCAGATCTATTCTTGCTTGCAACCTGGGAATTACGCACCTGACAGCATTGCAGTTGAATGTGTTGTATATCCAGGCAGAACTTGTCTCGAGCTGATTTAAAGATGTGTTAGCTAGAGGTGGATGATAATGTCAGCTGTATGAATTTAAGCTTAAATTTGTTCAGTCCTCTGGAATTTACTGGTGAGATACAGCTGCAGCATTCCCTATTGTAGGATGTGGGACTGCTGGTCCTTTTTATCCTTTTATGTACAATGTCACTTTCCTGGTTGTAAGGATGCTGAGATAACTTAGAGCTTAACTGATTCACCTTGTAGTTTTTGTTATGTGACATCAATAGTTTTGTCTGAAGATCTATTTGCAGGGAACTGTCATTTGAAGATAGCTTTAACAGAGGTTTCTACTGCGACCACTGGCAATAATGCAGCATATGTTCCTTTGCCCTTTCCCCACTACCCCCTTATTCCTATTTGCATTAGCAAATAATTCAGTTGTCTTAACTGCTTGTGGAGTAAGGGAGTATTTTTGTGTCCTTGTGGGTGATGTTTCTGATGTCTGTTTCTTAGGGTGTCTTCCATTTGCTGCTGGAGGATTAATTGAGCCTCTCTGTTGGGTCAGCTTTGGTCTTTGTTGTGCATTGTCAGGGATGGACACTAAAGTAATACACTAATCAGTCATAGGGTGTTTTTTGCTTTTTTGACTTGGCTTTATTGTTGGTGTGATCTTACCCTGTGGATTACTATAACTATGCACATTGCAATGATGGCATCCTTGACACAGAAAGCTCTACAGAGGGGAGGGAGAATTTGTTCAGAGTTTAGGCAGACAAAAAAGTGAGATTACTTTTTTGTTCTTGTTGGAAAAATAAGGCATCAAAACTAAGGAATCTCCTATGCAAGATGGTGAATCTGATCAGCAGCTTTAATTTGTTTCTGTGGTGAAGCATTTCACTGCTTCACAAAAAAGCAGAGGTATCAACAGCGGGAAAGGTGATGGTTTGCTTAGAGGCAAATGGAGGTGGTTCCTTTTGACTTGCTGTGGCAATGGTTGCTTTAAACTTCTAAGAGCTTGCTAGGAAGGTAGAATGAGATTGATTGGGGGCTGACCTTACTATTTTGCCTTGCATGACTGGACTTTTTTTGCCCCCCTTAAGTCTGCTTAGTTACCAGTCTCTCTTGAAGGATGATCTACTTTGCAACAAGCAGTTAGGCTTGTTTCTGAAATGGGTTAAAACTCTTTCAGATATCTGTTGGCTTTGATGTTAGCCATTTAAATTTTAAATAGTATGTAATTGCTTGTCTCATTGTTCCCTGAAGACCTGCAGTCATAGTAATTCATATGAATTCATGGAAGCAGTATGCCTCCTTTAGGTTTCTATGAAGAAGCCTGATTTAACAGCTGTTTGGAGTCCTTTGCATTCAGATTAGTTAAAACTTGCATTCTCAAGCATGGTATGAATTCAGGTTTGCTTCTTAATGTTTCTGAATGTGCTCCTGAATTCTTTGGCTCAATTTTCCAAATGTTTGTACTTGGAGAGGTGGGCCAGAGTTGGTTATAATCATTAATTCTTTATCAAAACAGATTTTTGTTCAGCAATTACTTCAGATTAAAATAAAGTTGAACTTTACTGTTTGGTTTTTTTTTCTTATTAAAATGAGTATCACTTAGATTTCAGAGGTCTTAAATATACTTTAGTTTTCCCCAAAGCATGTTACCTCTATGATATATTTAGAGAAAGGGCTTATTTCTGCGAAGAAGATTGGTAAATATAATTTTAAGGAAGTTCTGTTGCTCTTTCCATGTTCCTGCTTTGCTTGAGAAGTATGTTTAGAATTGGTATTACTTAATGGTGTCAGGTATAGGCAGGTGCCAGTCTCTTTTTGCAACTGAATGTTTTTAAAGCTGTAAATGTTTTTATCTCTTTTGTCAGTTGTAGAGAATTTGTAATGAACATAAGGAAACCAAATTCAGGATAATGGTAAATGTTTCTGGTTTTGTTACAACAGAATCTCACCTTGGCTCTTTCTTCTTCTTGGCAGAGAAATTTCTCGATGTCTGTAAACAGTGCTGCTGTCCTGCGGTTGACGGGACGTGGAGGAGGAACAGTGGTAGGGGCTCCTCGAGGTCGAAGTTCCTCTAGAGGTCGAGGTGAGCTCTTAATGGGATGTGCTGCAATGTCTGCAGGTTAAAGCTTCTGAAAGATGTTAAATGGAGCTTGGTTATAGCCAGATTTTCTCATGCTAGGTTTCTTTTTCCCTAAAGCTTTGAAACCTTTCCGGTAAGGTGGTGGTAGAGAATGAATATTGTGTTTAGTGATCTGCACACCTTAGTGCACATCTGGTACCTGTGTTATGTACCTTTGTCACATTGATGGCTGTGGAAAGCAAAACAGAAAGCTAGTCTTGAGGTGGAATAGGAAATGGGTTCAGAATTGTTAGAAATTACTAAAGGTATAAAACCAATTTATAGGGAAAGGGGAGAAGAATCCACAAATGCATTTTAAACATTAAGATTGTAGTAGGTGGTGTTCAGTGTTCTGAAAAGTCATTTTTACTTATTGACATCCTGAGCTGTTAACAGGGGAAGGTTGATGGAAAGATGTAATCAAATTTGGGAGAAATTCGAGTCTTGCCAATTTTAGTGCATCATTATAGTTGCTGTCACATCCTGGATCACTTCAAACATTTGCAAATGAATTGAGAAAAATGTCCTCAAACCATATAACTGGATTCAAACCAAATAGGTAAATCCAGAATTTATCTTAGCAGTTACCTTGCAATGTGCATACTGCCATGAACACTATTTTGAGGGGGTTTATGTAAATATGATGGGTTACATTTAGAATACTAAGTTAATAATTTGGAATTTATCAGGAGTAATTAATCACGTAACATCTGTCTTTCCAGGTGCTTAGGTGAGGTTTCTCTTAGGGTCCTGTCTAATTTAATTCTAAATGTTAAGTGGTGATATTTTCAATAAGAAGCTTCAGAAGTCACTTCCACACATAGTTAAATGCTTGACCAGAATTGTGCTCTGGCTTAATTTGCTCTCTCAATTCTGTTCTCGTTCCTCAGTCCTGCTTTCTTCTTAGCTCACATCTTTCAGATATTTCTTGTGGTTCCTTTCCAGCTGAAGCATATGTATTTAAACTTTCTTGAGGCTATCCCTGGATTTCTCTGTCACTTCGCCTTTGTTATTTGTCATTGTCTTTGCCTAAATGCTCAGGGCTTAATAAAAAAGGGGAAGTGTGTGCACATACGAAGATATGTGGTGACACTCTTACTTATATATGCCTTGTTATATTTCTGTTGTACATTTGAAAACTGGTGCTTTTTTGCTGTGTGATTTTAATGTGCATATTGCATTGCTGCCATTCATGTTTCACTTCTGTAGGAATACATGTAGCATTGTTACATGCATTAAGGCAAATGAAATGAATGCTACTTAAAACATGCCGATTTGAGATTGTCTAGTTTCAGTATCAAGATACCTTGACCATTTCTAATTTGCCAAACCTTTTATTTTTCTTTCTTTTGTCAAATTTTCCTTTCTTTTTTTGCTGTATCATTAGCAGTGGATAGCATCCTTATACAGTGAGCAGTGAGTTGCTTTTTAATTGTCCCCCGTAGTTTCAATGAAGTCATAAGGTTAAATGTGGGAGAATATGGCTTTTAATGCAGTAATTCTACTATTGAATCTATTTGTATACATGGAAATTTTGTTTGGCAATCAAGTTTGAGTCATTATGCTTTAGTGGACAGAACTTGAAATTTATGCAGTAATATGAAGACTTCTACTGCCTATCTTCCTGTTTTTCATACTTTATTTTTAAGATATGTTAAGAAATACTAGCTCTAGAACTTTGTTGCAGAATTCATCTCTTTTACTTGTTTTCATCCTAATTTGATCTTTTTCTCTTACTTTGTGTACATCATTACATGCTCTGCTTCTTAGGCTACTCTCTCATTCTTATCTGCTAAGGTGAGAATAATACATTTCTCCAGTAAACTTAGTAAATTACTGAGCTTTCCTCCTTTCATCGATCGTGGTTGCTGCTTGTTTATTCCACTTTCCCCTTTCCATAATCAATTAGTCTTGGACTTTAGGCATGATGAGTCTTCTTAAAGTTTCCATCTCTCAGCAAGCAAACTAGGGCTTCTGCCAGGACAAAAATCTTTTTTTTTTTTTTTAATTTTCATAATTATACACATGATGTTCTTGTAATTATGGGCTTTATTTCTAATATTTATGAAAAGCTCAGTGTAGGGCTGTTGACCTTTAATTTACAAAACTAGCATGTTGTTTGCAAGTAGGGAACTTCAAATGCGGTTCTGGTTTTTCAGGTTACAGTGAAAAGGACTTGGAATTTCTTTGGAGTTTGTTCACTAAATGAAGTGCTTCACCTAACAGTTGGAAAGCATTTTTCTTTATTGCCTTGCAAAATTGTCTGGGTTCAAAAGGTTATCTGATGTTTTGCATGAACTTTACATCATTGTATGCAACAAAGCTGCCGCTGGTCAAATGTGGGTTTCAGCTTTACCAGAACAAGATTACTGTCTTGAAGTGACTTGCACAACAATAACTTCAGGCAAGAATTTGCATGTGCGATTAGATTTGTTAATTAAGTTCCCTCACTGAAGCACAAATTGCAGAATTTGTGTTCCAGCATCTGGGAGTGTGAGGGAATCTGCTGAGTCGGATAAGCAAAGGGAAGAACGGTGAACTGCTGGTACAGGAAGGGAATTACTAGAACTCTTAAATGTGACTTATCAGTATTTTAAACTGCAACATAATAATAAATATTTTCTCAGTGTTCACCCCAAGTCTTACTGGCAGTGATTAGTTGAGCTGACGTGGAAATGATCACAGTGTGGAAATTGCTTTGATTTTTGTTTATATTTCTTATGATTATGTGCTGAAATACAACTTGGAGATAGTGTTCAAAACTGTTTGCAGCGTGCAACTGCTGTCACTAGCACTATATGTGTCTTTTGTGGAGACATAAATCTAAACCACTTTATTTGGTTCCATTCTCTAAAGAAACCGAGCACTTGCACGTGACCTTTTTTCTAATTGACTTGTTTTCCTGGGAGCTCCCTGTGGTGTGCAGCTAAGCCCTGTGCTTTGTGCTGGCAGGACTGGAATGTCAACATTCATGAATAAGAGCCTCAGATGAGGAGAGATTTAAATAGTCCCTGGAATGGGCTGTAAGCTTACAGGCACCTTGTTTTGTAGCTGTTCTCTTCTTTGCTTAAGACCCTTATGAAGGGTACTTCCCTTCTCATTAGAACTCTTTTCCCCTCCCACCCTCTTTCCCCTTTGTAGTCTGTCTTTGCTGCTGTTGGAAAGTGTGTAAAATGGTGTCGAAGTGGAAAGTTCTCATACCTACTCAGCAGCAGCTGAAATGCAGTTATTCCGCTGTTCCCACGCAGTATTATGGCTATGAGCATAGATCCTAAACTCCAGTCATGCTGTAATTTTAAGAATTTGCTTATTATATTGTGCTGTGTTGTGTTTTGTGTGTGTTTTTTGACAATTAGAATGACAATGTGTGCTGCTTTTTTGCCCTCTTGCTTGTGTCTTATATTTTTTACTTAAATTCAGACTTGTCTGTTTTTCAGGTTAGGCACTTTTGGCTGCCATAATTACAATATCCAGTGGATTGAGGTCCTCATTCTGAGGTTTTTAAGGAATTACTGAAATACACAGTTACTCCATTCAGGTCTTAAACGGAAGGGTTCATTGACATTTATTGACTTTGCATTTAATACTTTGTGCAACATCTACACTTAGAAAGTCTGCTCCTCATGTGCTAAGCATTTTTTTTGGAAGTGGCATTCTATTTAAAATAAGTATGTCATTCTAGATTTATTAGCCACAAAAAAAGCCAAGAAGTGCAGCAAACAGTGTGCTTATATATGCAGTTTTATCCTCTCTGCAAGCATTTCTCATATGTTCTATTATCAGTATTAGCTGTGTCCTAGTATGCACTTTCAGGTCAAACTGTTGTCTGTAATAACTGACTTCGTACACCATGGTATTCCTTACTAGGTACTTACCTTCTGTAGCTTGGTAGGTCTGTTCTAATGCAGTATGCTTCCCATGCAGTGGTCTACTCAGTTTCTGCTAGAGTTGCACACGTACTTCTACAGGTTACTGTTGACTGGGCACATGTTGTTACTGTACCTAGACAACGTGCCTTGTAGAATGCAGTGGAGGAGGGTGGCAACACAACCAGGGCAAAGGTGGCTTAAATGGGTCCTGTCCAGTGCTATGTGGTATCAGTACTGTGGACCCACAGCCTTTAATTGAATTGCTGGGATCATTTGTTTAAGCCTTTTGCAAGTTTATCTTTTAATTCAGGCCACTTTAGTGACTGAGCGTAACTGGAATACTGATGAACTGTGACACGGCAGGGGGTAAGTGGAGAGAAGTTTCTCGGGCTGTTTCACATACTTTTAAAGCTGCCATAAGCCATGCTACTGTTTAAAACAATTCTGATTCTGACCTTCCCCTTATACAGGACACTTGCTTTATTTGCTGATGCAATCTCCTCTGTCACCAGTCTTCTGGCTCTGCTTGTCGTGTGTCTGCTATCAGTAATCAGGGTGCATTCATGCTTACTCATACTGCAAGGGGAGCACTACAGATGTTGCTGTCACTCACTGTAAAAACCAGAAAAGGACAATGTTTTTTTTTTCTCTTGGAAGAAAGTATGCAGCTTTCCACCTCCACTACCTCAGAGACACGAAATGAATCAGTGCCTTTGTTTTGATTCTGCCTGCCTGTGGCTTTCTCTTGTGAACTGCTTTATTATCTCCTGTGAGAGGAAGGAAGTGAGCTTTCCTGTAGTGAAAAAACTAGGCAAAGGTTGCCATTGTTTGAGATGCTTGAACTTTCACGGGTTTTATTTGTGAAGAATAAGAGCCTGGAGTCCTTTTCCAGGATCTTACGAGATCCATTATACCTTAACTGGGTAAACATGGTGCTACTTTTGATGTTCTGTCACATATTTACTCTTTCTTGCCTTTGCAGTTTAGTTTGCACTCCTGACTGTGGTCAACCTTCTAGTATCAGACTTAATGTAGAGAAGGTATTTGTGTTTCTAATACAGTCATAGGTCTGATGCTGATCTCTCTTCTCTTGCCTTGAGTTCTCAGTCAATGCCTCTACCTCCACCTGAGTTTGTGTAAGAAGAGCTATGCTGAATCAGGCAAGGGCTTGTTTAACTTGATCGTCTGTATCAAGTAACAGCCAAAATACAACACCTTGGTAAGAGAATAAAAGCTATGAAAGAATGCAGAGGTGAAGAAGTGTCACATATATGCTTGGCTTCCAGACATGTGCAGCTTACATGTATTTCTGAATCAGTGTGGTCTCTTCTTAGTAAGTCTGGTTTATTCATCTTTTATGAATTCATCCAGTCTCCATCTGAACCTTGGCATCCCCAAAACTCTGTGGTGAGGAAGTCTGTCTCTCTGTGACAAGGAGGTCTCCCAGTGAACTGCTTTGCCATGCCTAGGAACATGACAGTTTCATCCAAAAAAGGATGTTTAAATCCTGTTTCTGAAGCAGGAGAAATTGTACAATTAGCTTTGTGGCTTCCTTATACACCCTGCAACCTGTACTGCCTGATACTGAATCAGTTTGTATTTGGGGGGCCTGACTGGATTATATGGGATCATTTCTCTTTTTTTCACCTTGAAAGCAACTCTTTCCTCCCTTCTTTCCTCCTCTTTCCTCCTTCCCCCCCTGTAGATCTAGTATAGAATAGCGTAGGAGTTGTTGCAACTGTCTTGATAATTTCCTTTTTTTTTTTTTTTTTTTTTTATTTTGAGCCTTTTTTCATAGAACACTGAATACAGTAGAATTCCAGGGGTCTTCAGCTTTTTAGATATAGAGGTTTGTTGTCACTACTCTCATCAGAAGACTACAGAGAATGGGGTCCATTCTCAGGGTGTTTATTTTCTGTTCCAATTCTGTCTTACTCCTCTGGATCCCTGGCCAGGTTTGCACCTCATCCTTTGAGGTGTTCATTTTCTTGAAGTCACAAAGAGAAATACAAAAGGATTGAGGTTTGTGATAGTCTCACTGCCAGTGATTCCCTGCATCAGGTGCTTTTTTAGTTCTTGGTGTAGAGACTGAATGTGTATGTAGGAAAGGCATTGTCCTGATAACCAGCTGATTGATGTGCTTTACTTGTCCATCTTCTTTCCATGAGATCCTTGAAATGGTAAGTTAGCTGATAAAAAACATCCAGTTTCTTCTGCTGTATAACTCTGTGAAGTGGTGTTTACCTTTTGTAGATCTGGAAACTTCACCCCAGCAATTAATCTAACCAGTGCTGGAAGCTCTCTTGAAGGTCTGGGGATGTGTGTGGGTGTTGTTTTTTCTGTTGTTTTGGGTTTTTTTGGTCTTTTTTTTTCTTTAACTGAACACCCCACACCTACCCAAACACTGGCGATTTGCTTCAAGATGCTTTACTTGACAATATGTCTGCAACTTTTTGGCTTGAAGCTTGATATTTGGTAGCCATCTATGGAGAATCATTCCTTGACAAAGTGAGGACAACATTTTACTCTGTAGCTATTGGAGTTCTTCATGCTGTCCTGCCTATATCCATCTTGTGATCCTTCCTTTTCCCCACTGCTCCTGGGGGAGATTTCAGCTGGGAATCACTAGATCTTAATAGTGGTGACGCTTCGTTCTCCTTTGTTAACCTTGATAGCAGCAATTATGAATACATGTGCAGTGCAGTACCATTATACTGGATTCCACTGTTAAAATCAATGTGATTTTTTTTTTTTGAGTGTGAAGTACACATGTACTGTATGGATGTTGTGTGGACAGTGCATCCTTGTACGGTAGTTTCTGTTGGGTAAGTATCTGTGTTCTGTTTTTCTGCATAGTATTTATTTCAGACTTGTTTGCCTGTTCTGTCTGATCTTGTGATTCTTGATACGCATTTTTACATGAGACTCTTCAGTCTTTGTTCCTTTTTTCCTTTTGCCCTAGGTAACTTCTCTGGGGCTTAAGACTAAGATAAGTTCGGAGACACCAGGAAAGGGAAACCTACTTGATTCTTTCAACTTCTGTTATTATTCATAAAAACACTTGTGTTTTTTGTCTTTTCAGGCAGAGGCCGAGGAGAAAGCGGTTTCTACCAAAGAAGTTTTGATGAAGTGGAGGGTGGATTTGGGCGAGGAGGGGGCAGGGAAATGCACAGATCGCAGAGTTGGGAGGAAAGGTAACAGAACTCTAGCCCTTAAAGTTTTTTACATACATCTGCTCAGCTTCCATTTGTGCTTGTTGACTTCATGAAAACACTTCAGGAAAGGTGATTAAGGTGTATCTGTGAGTGAGTGTCTGATTTCTAAGATGAAGTCAACACAGTAATGTTTCTAGAAACTCAGGAGCAAGTAAAAGAGACTTTTGCAAAGACTTTTTCTGCTGTGTTCCTGGGAAGAAGGAGCTACTTTAAGAGAATATAAATTGTGACAGTTGCAGTGGAAGTGATGAGTGAAAATATGGATTGCTAAAGGATTCGCTTCACTTGTAGTCTCAACGTTGTTGACAGTACTTAGGGTCACATTTCAGAACATACCTGGTTGCTGAAGGCTGTGTGTGTGTCGGTGTTCCTGAAAATTTCACTTGTCACTTGGCCCTTTAAAGATACTGTCCCTCAAGCTCTTTTTTTAAAAAAGCCCCCTACCAAGTTAAAAAGCCATATCTAAAATGAGTGGAGTAGTTGCAAAACCTTATTTGAAACTTCTATTCTGCCTTTCTAGGGGAGACAGACGCTTTGAAAAACCAGGGCGAAAAGATCCAGGTATGGTTTTGTTACTGTATGGGCAGAAAGTGGGAGGGAGGAGCAGGGTGTATTTTGGGGAAGGAAGCTATATATACATAAACTGACTGCTCCAAGTGTATTGTTGGTACAAAATTCATGATACTGTGTCAGGCTACTTAATTGTATCCTCGAAGTGTTGGCTTTCCTTATCCTGTGTTGTATTTACTACTAGCTACTTAAATGTTTTAGATAAGAAAAACCTGCAGTAAGTAGTTTCTATTTATGCAATTAAGATGTGATGTCTACAGGCTGGAACTAAATTCCTGGACCTCTGTGACAGGAGTCTGTACTGATTAACAGGTGTGCTTTGGCAATATGCCTTTTCAGTGCAGCTTTTAAACATCCCTGGTGTGTGCTATTTTGATAACTAGGACTTCTGGACTGTGTGAACTGTGAATTGTTTTTGAATGCTTGCTAGTGTGCAGTAAATCCCAGCAGCAGTGTTCTGAGGTTCCCATGCTGATGGATTTACTGTCTGCTAAATTAGTTGAAATCATCATATGAATATTCTTTTCATTCAGGTTATTACCTGGTCCCCCTCTCTGCCATTCCTTTCCTATTCTGTTTCCTAAATGCTTCATACTGGCCACATTCAGAGAGAATACTGGATCCTTAATTGTGACCCAGTATGTCTGTTTGGCTCTTCAGCTAAACTTGGAGTGGATTGTCATCTTGGAGATGGAACATATCCATTTAGGTAAAATCTGTATTCAGAGAGTGGAAGTTCTCTTCTATCAACTGGTTATATGGTAACTGCAATGATTTTCTGCTTCATGAGACCATGCATTGTTTGCTCTGTGGTATGACCTTGCTCTTTCTCTGTGGCATGTTTCAACATGCATGTACCACAGCTGTGCTTAGTGAGAGGTTTGAAGCTTACTGACAGTGAGGGTTATCTTTTTAGGACCCAGGAGCTTTTGGTCTTTGCTGAAGGGGGTCTTGGCAAAATATCCTCCTTAGTGAACATATTGGTAAATCATAGGTCAGAGAAGACAACTGCAGGTTGAATTTCTAGACAAACAAAACTGAAAAGATTCAGTTGCAAATAAAGTTGACAGGAATGTATTTTAATCCCTGCTTGGTTGTCAGTGTGTTCTTAGTGAGACTAGCCTAAATTGCCACTTTAATAATCTTCCAGCTTACCATGGTGGCACATGCCTTATGAGTCTAAACTTACCATGTTTGTTTTCAAAGCCCTCCCAATCCTCTCTCCATGCAGGAATG